CTCAATGTCAGGATATCAAAGGAGGCATGCTGTTCTTTTAATCGGATTGCATTCAACAAGAGTACTTGCAGAGTTAGTGCGTATTAGCTGCATATAGGTTATTATAGCTCATTTTCAACAACCCAACATAATTGTTTTTTTCAAATTTAAGTAAATATCCTAGAATCAGCAGATTAACTTTAGTGGATTCTATCTCATCTGGTGCCCTTAAGAGTAATATTTCCAATTACAGCTCATGATGGAAATATGTTTCTAATAAAATTTAAAATGTAAACTAATTATTATTATTATTATACTACCAGGTGGTCCACCAGAGCCAGAATCCTACTACGTCCCTTCTGACTGCCCTCTGGTGGCGACATGAGGAAATTGCAAGCTGTCTCCTGGAGGCCGGAGCTGTGGTGAATTGTATTCAAGGGATGTCCACGTCATCGTTGACCAGAGCTATTAATGCTAGTAAGTATATTATGGATAACTCAACTTGACTGGTTGCCTTCTGACTTCAAAACACTTGTGACTGGTGTACATGACTTTGAAATTTCTTAATAAACATGTAGTGTACTGCCTGCTTAATCATCACCTTCTAAAGTGATGTTGCAATATAATTGTTTGAAGTAATCTTTATACACATCTGTATTGAATGGGTATAAGCCACATGTGATTCAATGCCACTTGTGTTGGTCACTTTATTTCTGTTTAGAATAGTGGCACAGCTGTGAAGTGTAAACTGTCACAAATTTAAAAAGTTTGTTGGTATTCTGTGACTTTTGATGGTTTCCATTGTTCCCTTGCTTCAATTTAAAGTTGTGAAACCATTTCACAGATTGAAAACATTTCATTTTGGCAATAGAGCTGCCCTACCTTTAGGTCACCATATATATATTTGTTGCTTTTCATTATAATGATGTTATTTCAGATTGTTCTCCTGAATTGATAGAAAGACTATTGGAGCTTGGTGCCAGGGAGAACACAGAAACAGAAGACACTGCAATAATTTCAGCCCTGAGGACAGGTAACACAGTTGTTTACCAGTTAGAATACACATGCTCATTTATTCTGTGACTGTGTTTATGTAACTCATATTCTAAAATACAGACACACACTTGACAACATGAAATGTGAATTTACATATTGTGTTGTAGTTGTTGTATTATCTCTTAGCTTTTAAATTTTGGTCCAATGCAATCCAGTGCAATAAAATGCACAGGTCATACACAACATCTATACAGTTGTATGACAACTGGCTGAAAAACGTAACGTCATGGCGTTCTTTGAAACTTCTCAGTGAGTCTGTATCAGAATCTTGTGCTGTTTCGTGGCATCTCCGATTGCCAGTGTGAAAAGCCAAACCTCGTACATAAAGCTATATTAAAATCAAACAAAAAATGCAGCAAACAGTCATAATGTCATTTTTGTTGGCAATGTAGAAAGTATGCAGTTTTATCCCTGACAGATAATAATTATTATTGTTGTTTATTCAAGTAACTTCTGTATGTTCATCTTTTTTATTTTATTTCTAGGTGATCCAGACACAGTGAAACTTCTACTGAAGTACAAATACAGTTAGTATGGGGTGAGAGAGAGAGGAAAGATTGCCTTGACTCCTCTGGAGATAGTTCTTAAGTCCAGTTCCTCCAATCTAACAACTTTGTTTAAAATACTGACAGATGCTGGAGTGGAAATACCTTACAAGATTGACTGGTGTAAACTGTTGAGAAAATCACGATATATCATAAACAGAAATGTTGTGGAGCTGATTAAGATATTACTACAGCTTGGAGCTTTGAATGTGGTAAGGGATTGGTTTGAAGAGATGGTGGTGGAAAAAATCTGGAGAAAATTTTATGCTGCATCTCGTGTTATAAGGTACGAGGCTGACGTACATTCCCTGGTACAGATCATGTTGTTACTGGCTGTGACAGAAGGGAACATTAAAGACGCTCTGAGAATGCTGCACTCAGTGGGACTCAAGTATAATCTTGTTAACAGTATATCTGCCACTCATCTTGAACTTCCTGTGGATTTAGACTCAAAAATCACCCAGTTTTATCAAGACAATTTAGCCTGTTTTTCTTCTCTGTTACACTGCTGTGTACAAGCCATACGCAGAACTCTAGGGGAGGGGAAAGTTACTGAAAGTCTTATAAAAAGTTTGAAGCTCCCAGATTCTTTGGTTAAATTACTAACTTTACCAGAGCTAGATAACATCATCAACATGAGGTTTCCTTTTATGGAAGATACAATATATTTAGTCAGTGGAATAAGCAATGACTAAAACAGCCACTGGTGCCTTTTCTATCGTCTTTACATCTATGTTTATTGCACAAAATGATACCAACGGTGATAACAGTTTTGTTTTTATCATAAATTTCAATACCTTTTCCGTGAAATATATTTAATTTCTCTACCAGAGGAGAAAAAACCCAACCCGTAAAACTGAGTTTTGTGGTGAAAGAAATACTAGACAAACATTCAAAGCGTAAGGGTGTATTCTGCAAAGATTTTATGAATTTATGGATTTTTATGGATTTTATTTTCTACAAATTTAATGGAAGAATACCAGCCAACAGCGCAAAATATTAATTGTGGCTCCATATACTGATAGAAACAGGTTAAACCTAACTGTTAGGGTACGCTACGTGTCTAAGTTGACGGGAATGCTGGTACATCATACTGGGGTACATGTATGAAATTTGACACTGGTCAATAAAGATGAAAAATCCTTCAAAATACCAAGCCAATGTCAATACATTTTATAGGTATGTCTCATTAGAGCTACAGAGTAAATTTATTTCATTATCAGAGTGTCTTTATTTTCTATATACAGGAACGGCGATACTGACAATCACAACTGAATTGTTTCAGAAAGATCCTGAAACCTAAAATGGTATATACGGTTGTTTTTCCACCCTTTTTTCTCTTGGTGAATAGTAAGTTTTGATAAAAAAAAAAGCTGTGAACTTATTCATTAAATGAAAAACAGACTGTGGAAAACAAAATAACAAAATTAAAGTTTATTACACAAAGCGACAGTTCAACTCAAATGTTAAAGGCACATATCAAGGGAGTGTACACACAGATATCATACTTTCATACACCCGTACCTCGATGTATACCATTTTGTAACTCTCCTTTTGTTGATGTATTCTGCTAAATTACACTTCCACCAATATGTTAAGGACATATACCTAAAATATATAGTTTGGTTTAAATAGTGACTTTAAATTTAAGATGTCTCCTTATTTAGGTGATGTTACTGGGTTGCTGCCCTAATGTTTTGCATTTTGGAACTCTGCCCATATCAGGCGATTTTATACTAAACATAATGTTTCTTCATATCAACCATGTCAAAGAAGTGCCATTCAGATATTCAAGTACTTCTTCAAGTACTTCTTGAATATTATAGCATACTATATTAGTGTAAGACTAAAAGCGCCTATATATTTTAACATGTGTGCAAATTCAAATAGACAAGCATCATATATTCGATAAAAGACAAACCAACACAAACCACCACCCTCTCTCTCTCTCTCTCTCTCTCTCTCTCACACACACACCATATTTCAAAATATTTTCTACTTATCATATGCAGCTATCTAAAGCAATAATAATATCACATTATATTTTATATGAATAAAAATCAAACCACTTTACCAACCAATCAACAATCACATTCACATAAACAGAAATAATAATATGTTGATGATTTTTTTTCCTTTCAAAAAGAACATTGATCTTGAGTTTCTGGGCGTAGGTGATAACTGAACACCAATTTCTATTTTAATTATTGAATGAAATCAAATATTTTTAGTAAAGTTTAATTTACGCCGGTAATAAAAAAAATGCATTTTTAAGCTTGTATAAAATTTGTTAGGTCACTTTTTTTGTGACGTGACATGTTCAAAGCATGTTGCCTCCTTCAGTGTGATTAACGAAGTTATATGTTCCGAAAAGTTGCCGACCGTTCTACTTAATAGCAACTAAAAGCACAAGTTTACACAGCCCTTCATTCGACCATCTTAACGAATGTAGCCCCATTCCGGCAGACACCCTTCCCAGCTAAGCGATACTTGACCACGGCTTTGTTGCTGTCGTTGTCATTCCCTTTGGCATTGGCGTTGAGGCTCTCAAGTGGAACATACAAAGATTCCAAGTCTTCAGATACGTAGCATTTCAGGTTCATCTCCGTCATGTTGGACAACGTGACGTCATCTGTGCTTGACTGAGTGCGTTGGAGGGAGGAGGAATACTTTTGGAACTCGTCCTCTGGCTTGCTCCATATTTCATTCAACAATGAGGAATATTGATTTCTGACTTTGTCTATAATTAAAACAAAGCAAAACAGTTTTGTTGAATAAATAAGCTTCGATCAAGGTTTTTTCGAAATATAAAAACAAATGAAACACGATTGATAAGTATAATCAACCCAACTGACAGGCTCTTTCTTCTTAAAATATTTAGTAGAATAAATACATAAACGGCCCAAGTGTATTAAAAATATCAGAACTGTTAAATACTATGAACCCAGGCATGCGTTCAACTGATGGTCCTTCAGAGCCTTAAACAGGTTATGGACTGTAGCTCCAGCCGTCCTTACTTTCCACAGCCACAAAATCTGGAAGGATTGCTCCTGAGCATCGCGTTGGTACTCATACTCTATGTTGTCTAGCTTGGCGTCTGGGATTCCCAGCTGTGCACGTGCCAGCATGCGGACATCTTTGAGAGACACGTGGTCACTTATCGCCATAATCATCTCGCGGAGAAGATGGGCCTGGAAAAAATAACATTGATCTTGACGCTCTAGAGCTTGACTGAGCATGTTGACCCATAGAAAAAATAATAAAAGAGAAAATTAAAAGGGAAACAAAAACGGAAAATAAAGATAAAAAAGGAAGCACATTATGGCTTTTTCCTGATTACTTTACAAATGAAGAATTATTACATCATTTGACAGTACTAACCTGTATTGGTGGCAAGGCATATCTATGCAGCACTATCTTAACGTGTTCATGGCCCTTTTTCACAGCCAAGTCATAAGCTGTTTCTTTGTCCTGCAATAGTAAGGTAACACTATAAATATTCAGTCGCATCATTTACATAACTTTGATTTTGAGATTTGACATATTGTATTTTTTTACATGAGTGCTGTAGAATTAACTTTTAAAAGAAAACAACAATATGCTTACATCTGCAAGGGACAAACGTATCTGCAAACAAATAACCCAATGATTGGGAAAGGAATCATAATGTGCCTGTATGGTACCATCATCATCATCATGTATGTTACCAACCAAGTTCAGGCTATTTTGTCTATATAATATTATGTATCCACAAACCTCATCAGTGATATGAGGATCAGCTCCATGCTCCAGGAGATGCTTCACGGAGTCTTTATGGCCGTACAATGCTGCCCCATGTAAAGGAGTTCTGCCCCACTGGTAACAATAAATAACTACTATAATGATAATATCCGACGTTGTCTTTCTTCACATTTCATTCATATATTTTATGTGTGCTGATAAAGGCAACACTGAGTTGAAATAATACAAGTTTATATTCAACACTGAAACGCTTCCTTTGCCAATGTGAGCAAACAATCTAAAGAAGAAGAAATCATACAGAGTGTGTATAAAGAGGCATTGATTGGCACTTTGATATTTGCATGTCATGTCCTGTCTCATGTTTTCATTATTTACATTGTATTAACTTATTGTTACCAAACAATAATAAGAGCAAAATGTATCAATTCTTTGCAATGAAATAGTTGGAGTATACAAACTTTAAATGTATCAAACCAAACAACTATCTCCAGGGTACTTTGTTTATATAACATAATATGTCACTTACCTTATTCGTGATATTAGGATCAGCTCCATGCTCCAGGAGAAGCTTCACGATGTCTTCATGACCTTTATATGCTGCCCTATGTAATGGAGCCGAGCCATTCTGGTAACAACAAATGATCGGCATAATGATATCATCTCATGTTGTATTTCTTCACATTTTATTCATTTATATTTAAATCATGTGTTGGATTAACTAACGTTTTGATTTAAAAAAGTGCTCATCTATATCAGCAGTCAAATGTTTACAGGACAAATGTTAACAAATAATCTAATAACGAAATAAATATAATAATGTGCAAATAAAGATAATACATTTTATTAATGCAAGGAAAGGAAATGAATTAATTTGCACCTTACTGTTTACGTGTAACACCGGTCCCATGTTCTCTTTCTTTACATTGTATTCACTTATTATAACCAGATAAAAAGTACATAATTAAACAAACTCATGGATCGTTTATGACAAAACAGTGGAAGTGCATGCATACCCTCCTTATGTCTATCAAACCAGAAGACAAAGTCCACGGTAATTTATTTATACAACAGTACATGTATGTGTCACAAACCTCATCCGTGATATTAGGAACAGCTCCACGCTCCAGGAGAAGCTTCACGATGTCTTCATGGCCATTTAATGCTGCCCAGTATAAAGGAGTTCTGCCAAACTGGTAACAACAAATGATCAACATTATGACATCATATGACGTCGTCTTTCCTCACATTTTATTTGTTTATTTGATATCTATAGCACTGAGGCAAAATATCATGTTGTTCTTCTTCACGTTTAGATAAAACCACCAAAAGTGCTCAATGTATCAGCAGTCAAATGTTTACAGGGCAAATGTTGACATATAATCTAATGACGAAATAAACATTGTAATGTGCAGGTATAGATAATACTTTTTATTAAT